TGGCTTCCGATCTCGATGTCGATGTGGAGAATCGATCGTGAGAGCAGACCGGTAACAGTCCTACCCTTCTGGGGGATTTACCGTGCCAGCTGATTTTAAAGACACTCCGCGATTACAACAGGGGCCCAGATTTGAAACTCGGGACGACTAGTTGACTTATGAGTGAACAAAAGAGTGTGAGGAAATATTTAATGTTCAGGTGTGAATGCATTTTATTATGAAGTGCAAGGAAGCTTGGACGGTGTCAGTGAAAGCGCGCACAACCGTGGAACCGTGCAAGAGAAGCTGAACTCTGACGTATGGTTTTCTTACATGGATTTGGACGGGTTAGTCTTTTATTTTCATAAAATCCCTTTAAGGTTTCATCAGCGCTGCCACGAAGCGACATTGTTATACGAGTGGACGAGTAAGTCACTGTTCTTCATTGCGGAGCTTTTCCCTTCATATTCCTCAACCCGAAACAAAGCGCATTTCTTACGGGGAGTGATCAAATTTACTATTCCTTCTGGTAGATAAGTAGAAGTAGGTATGCTAAGTACGTCCTTCAGAGCAGAACAGTGAGTGTCAGATGTCTCATACGGGCAGCTGCATCGATTTTGGGTCATTGGATCTATCGCTAACTGTCGTGAATGTCTTGGAGCTGCTTTATTGTATCGTATTAAGTTAGGGCATAGAACATGATTAAAGTGTAGTTTTAGAGACGGGTAATCATTTTCGCTGGCAGGTCTTTGAGGCGCTAACGCCCCACTTCTCCCTTCCGAATATAGACGGCATTTTCTCGAAGGAGAAACCGGGCCTAATGAAGATCTTGAGAATCAGGGACATGGTTAAAGGCAACAGTGCGCTTGCTAAGAGGCGAAGCGCCATTAGTAGAAGGGCGTTTATCTCCGCTCTCCAGCTAGGAGGTCAGACCTAACCAGGGCATATCACCTCGGGAAGCGGAAATATGGAAAGTTCAACGTAGTCACGTTTAGCGGGCCTAAGGTCGTACCAGGAAAGAGATTTGGGAATGGGCGGGCACGGGTTTGTGACAAACACTTCCGCAAACGGATGATGTGCTGTGGACCCTGCACTTCCACTACGAACAAGATTTGCTGCCTTCTAGCCAATGTCTTCTGAATAATCAGGGCAGTGATGAAATGGGTAAGATACCTGGTCCTAATCAACTCACGAAACACGCCAAAAACTCGCGGTCCTATCAAAAAAGCGCAGGAATTTTCATTCTTGTTTTGAGGCAACCCAATACCAGCAGAGCCAACAAACACTAGGTCCACTGTTTGGCTTTTTAGCAAGTCCAGTACCGTCTATTCGACCTGGAAAGGTGTAAGAGTGAGTGATTGGGCAGGATTTCATTCCAGCTGACCGGATAATCGCAATGGAATGTTTTGACCCCAAGCGCTATTAACTTTTGCTTTACCATGATTTGTAAAACTCGATGACATGATGCTAGTGTAACCGCTTTTAGACAGCTTGTATTTTTATTGATTTCTGATAAATAAATGACTTTGATACAATCAGTTGAGTTTAGAAGTGAGTTTGATAAATCCGGAAATGGAGCGATATTCCATGGATACGTGACGACATCGATATCAAATCGAACCGAACTTATCGCCTTGCTCCAATCCGTGCCTACCATCGTCATCGTTTTCCTCGCTCCCAGAGGTGGGCTTTCAACTTTGGGCTCTTGATACATGTGGATTGCAAGGGGTTCTCAAAAGATACAAGTTCTGAAAACTCTATCTGTAGCCTAGCGATGTAGCAGTGATCAAAGGTTTGTCCAGAATTCCTGATGAGAACTCCTCTTCCCCCACGATCCGATTGAAGACAGTTTCCGCGATCGGTGTTTGGTCCGCGAAGCTGCATGTCGAAAACCATTGCAAGCACGATTGCTTTCACTCTGCAACACAGCGGCTTACAAGCGGAATGGCGTGTGTACATAGCGTTGGTTGGAGCGTCGTGGGATATTTCCCATATCTTGCGCAGACAATGCGTTACGAAGATGGCTCACATGGAAGCTGCTAAATGAATTGGCGATCTGACGGGAAGGGCTAAATGATCTGCCCAGAGAGTGGCGCGAGATGTGACAAACGCCCCCCCCCCCCCCCCCCCCCCCTCCCCGCAGTCCTTCCACTAATAGCACTGGCAACTACTCTTGCCTTCACCAATCACACTCTATCCCTCTGAAAGTGTTTCTTGTGATGAAGCATAGGAGCAGTTTGCATTAAGGTGCAATCCATGCTGATTCTGCGAGTCTTGAAATGAGTGGAGAGGTTTAACCTTCGCTCACTTCCTCATCTGAAGCGCTACCTTTCGTCCTTGGTTTAGAATTGCTTCGCCGGCATCAATCCCTTAATGCTACTTCCCACATTGCAAATTTTCACGCATCTTATGTGGCTTCACCCACACCAGAGACCCGTCCTCTTGAAAAAGTCTATTCCCCAGGCTCGTCGCATGCTTGTAGCTCTTTCTAGAAGCAGCTGAACCTATTAGTACTGGCACTATAGATGCACTTTCTCAACGAGGGCCCTCGAGAGTTCACGATAATCTATCTTCTTTTACCGTTTTGCGGAGACAGGGAGTAGAACGAAACGCCAGTTCGGGCTTCGAGTGCATGGTAACAAGTGGGTACTCAACGAGGCCTGCACAAGCACGTTTTGACAAACAGCCAAGTATATTACTGTAGCATTGGGTGCGTCCATTTGCTATCATTCCACGGCCTCAGTGTTTAACATCTGTTAATTATTCGTAACAGATACTATAGAAGGAACTAGCGAAAGTGCAAAATACCCCTCCAAGCCGAACAATTCAACTGGTTGACTGGATTTTCCCGCCCATCAGCGTGAATTGTGCCTTTGATGTTCACGCCTTTGCTGAAAAATTGATTATATTTTATTTTCAGAGAAGCGTTAGCCACCCACTCGAGCAACAGCCATATCGCGACTTGTGAGAGCCTCGGGGTTGGCTGAGAAGACCACCGATTGTGTTGGCGACAGCGCTCAGCTACCGAATAGCACGTGCATGTGTTCTCCATACACGACAGGAGCTCAGTGTGAAACCATCAAGTAAGTAGTAGTCAATTTCTTTGTTCAGCCCTACAGAGTGGTAAACTATATGCAACTGGATGACTTGATGATTCAGTTGTCAAAACTTTGGTCTAGTCAGTGGCAGCCGTTGCGTTTGTGCACCAGGGTACTACTCAAAGTACTGCGAAACTCGTAAGTGCCCTCCGAAGGCATACTTGGCTTTCTGAGGTTCTTGTGTTCTCACTTTGCTGACTGTTTTAGGTGGTTTTCGTCCGGCCATCGAATATGACATCGACTTGAGTTCACGTTCACTTATAATTGTCTTTCTACTGACTAATTCGATGTATCAAGAGTTCTTGGACTTTCGAGCAAACTTACAAGTCATGGTGGACGGAATTGGTGGTCCTGACAAAGACATCACTAGCTTCGTCTTCTTGGGGATTCGTGAAAAGTGGCTGAGTGATAATTTGCAGAATTCCAGTCCTAGAGTTGATTAGAAACCTTTGGAACGTCCACCTAATTCAGCAATGGAAAGACAACTCGCTATACAGCATACGCTGACAAACTGTCAGATTTGGACGCGACATTCGATAGCTTGGTCTTCAGTAAGGTGACATCTGACCAACCACTTCTTCAGGAAATCGTTTCGGCTCAGCAACAGTTAGTTCTATGGAGTTTATTCTGAAAATGAACATTTTTGACTCTAGAATTGGTAAAATTGCCGGACGTTCCTCTCGTGTCTACCAGGCACAGGATTGGCAGCTACGGGAGGGGGGGGGGGCATTTCGCACTTTTGATACTTCCCATCGACGTGTGTACCCACCTAAACAGCCTCTTCTCGAATTAACAGGTTTTACCATGATGGCTTGGGCTCTTGTGGAGCTTGCTCCAGCTCCACAAGAGTTCACAGGTTTCACCAGAGTGAGACTTGTAAACCGGAACTAGTGAAGCAGCGAAAGTGCAAAATGCCCCCTCCGCCGCCGAACTGCGCCCATGGCATAGTACCTGGATACGTGGTCCCATTTCAGCACATGACCCGTATGGTGCAGGAACGGGCAGCGCACTTATGCTCCCACACGTGTCCTATGGAGGGGTACATCAGCTGAATGTGTGAAATGACAGAGTCATCACGTATTCCTTTCCCTATGCAAGTTGGGTTGGACCCCCACGCTCTTAATCACCCTGCGCTACTGCTATGACATTTCTTCCCTCCCCACCCGCCCTACTGAGATTCACACTACGATGGTGGACTTCCTTTACTCAAGGAAGTTGTTGGTAAGACTGTGACTTGCTTCCTGCTCGCTCTACTGCAGTAAGAAATGAAAAGATGAATTGTTTGCTGTTGGTTAATGCTTTTTTGGAATGCTTTACTCACTAAGACACGGTCAAGTCTAGGTGATTTTGCAGAAATGTGGAAGAAAATTCGCCAAGTGAACCATCTATGAAGAGAAAATGCCAAAGGGAACGTTGGAAACGCATTCGTCAGGCCTCCTCTAGCCTCAAACAACTGTAGAGGTAAAAGACCGTCGGCTGATTCCCAGTAATGAACCCTATGACTCTACAAGAGACATTGAATGCATCCACTCCATGATACTTGCCCGGGCATTACTTTTGGCTGGAAGGCCGACTTTGGAGGCGGAGTCTGGAGGCGGGGTCACTGAAGAAGGGGTGTATCACTGAAGCAACTATGAACCCCTCGCTTGAGGTCCCCCTTGATTGCTCGCCTGGGGTCCCAGACGAATTCGTTCGTAAAGGGTTAAGTTGTCAGCAAGCTCCAGTACTGTCGCGAGATCCTGTCCTTGCGTTCAGAACTAAGGACCAGGATCTCGCGCGGGGACTCTTTCATCTTCCTAAAGGGGAAAACAGCCTTATTATCAATACAGGGAAGGTCCCGGTGATCTATTCAGTTCAAATTCTAATTCAAAACACAGCCTACTTACTATCCCGAGAATTATTAGCTTCAGTTTTGAAAGTTGTTCCTGTTTGTTGTCTTTGTTTACTTTTTTTGGCACTATTTACCCTTTACTGCCCCAGTCATCCCAAAACAGGCCAGTTCGTGAGGGCTCCAGGTGTAGTTCGACTCGCTGAACACGAATATCGCATCCGCTTAACCCGAAACCTCCTGGCGCCCGCGCCACGGGCGCCGGCGCCAAAATAGTCGAAATCACCAAATTCGCTGAAAACTTGCTTGGGTGGTTTGACTCCCTGATCACGAATATCACATCCGCTCGGCGCAAAACCTGCCGCCCGCGCTACAGGTGCTGGCGCCAAAATACCTCAGATCACCGGCGCCTGTGGCGCAGGCGCCAGGAGGTTTCGGGCTAGTGAATGTCATATTCGTATTCAGGAGGTCAAAATACCCCAGGAGACAACATTTGAGCCAAATCTGTCCACGGAGAAAAAGTCGGTCAGAAACTGGCTCAATTCTGGATTGTTGGGGCAGTAAAGGGTAAATAGTGCCCTTTTTTTCTTTTTATAGTGCCATCCCTTAATTGAGTATGTTTCTGTCTTTTTTCAAGCTGAGTGGCGCACCCTTGGGTGTATATCAATAAATAAATAAATAAATTAACTTTGCGCCTTAATCCCTTTACCGTACAACTTTCCGCCGCGAAACTGGCACAGGGTTGTCCACTCCGGACCGCACTACCTTCCCACATAACCTCTTGCATTTTCATAGGTCATCACGGGCCGCTCCTTTAACTTCCATTCAGGTTTGTAGTGACTTAGTGAGAGAGATAGGCCTATTCAGTGAGTAGCGGGGACCAGCCGGTCAATGTTTGTACGAGTCGGTTTAGGCGAATCATTACATTTCACCTCCTCGGACAGTAGGGTTCTCGGTGGGTTAAGAC